ATTTATGATTTTTTAGAGTCTAAATCTTAAAATTCTAAACCCTAAAAATTTTTTTGACCCCTAAAACCCTTTAAATTCTCAAAACTAAACCCTAATACAACATAGTTAACACAAACATAAATGATATAATGAATAAATAATTTTTTAAAATGGCATTTTTGTAAAAATGTGGCATTTTTGTAAAGTGACACTTGAAAAGTGGCATTTTTTTAAAATTTCTCAATAAGTTTTAGGTTTAAAAAATAATTTAATAAAATATTATTGTTTTCTAACTAATAAATTTATAAATATATATTTAATTTTGAAAAATAATGTTTAATTGATATTTTCATAAGTTTAATTAATTATTATTTTTTCAACAATTCCGCCACATTATGCCAGATTCAGCTGTCACCATTTGCGTTCAAAGTTATTTAGCCATATTCCTCAAAAATATCAAAAATTCAGCCAGATTATGCAATTCAGCCAGATTCAGCTGTTATCATTTACATCCAAATTTTTTCTACTTATTTAATACTAAAAAAAAAGGTCTAAATTCTTCTAATCGTACGTTGTACGTTGAGATTTAAATATGTAAAAGTGGTCGGTCGAAATAAATAGTTGTTTTCGAGGAGGAAACAATACTGTTGTCACACATCATTTTGATATATATTTTTTTTTGAGAAAAAAGAGTTCTGATTATATTCTTGATATCAAAAAAAAATTCTGATTATATTATTGATCATATTTTGTTTGATTCTACTGTTTAAAAAAAAGTTTCTGAAATTGAAAAAAATAAATGATATTTAAGTAGATGTTACAAAGTAAACAAAAGGTTATAAGACCTCCAAAAATTACAAATGGGGATTAGATTATTTGATGTATTATAATGAGTACAAGTTGTACTCTCTAATTAAAGAATCACCCAAATATCAGGGGAGTAAAAAAAAGGAATATTAAAAAAAATCTAAATAATTATAAATAATCATATTAGAGAAAAACAAAAAAAGGAAAATTAGTTCCTCGGACTTGGAAGACCCATGCA